TAAGTGTTTAGAAACTATTATTGTTTCTCATTTCTCTTTTTTAAGTCACATTTTCAAAATTGTGTAAAACTTTTGGAAACAACGAAATCAATGGCTTTTTGGTCATGTTCCCATTTCTTGTCTAAGTTTCCTCTTTTTAAAAATGAAAAATAAAATTATAATGATTTCAACATTTACGGATTCTAGAATGGTAAAAAAAACTTAATTTTATTTAATTGGTGGAATACTTTTATTGACTAAGTATATGTCTTAGTTTATAATGTCTTAAGAGTTTTTTCTAATTTAGTATTTAAAATGTTTCAATTTAGTCGTTTTAGTCTTTTATGTTTTACATTTTTAGTCTCTTTGTTGTAACGTTAAAATTGGCTATCCATAAATTTACATGATAGTTAGCAAATAGGTGGATATTTATAGAAGGAAAAAAATAATTTTAGAGTCTAATTCCTCCTTCTTTTTTAAGAAATTATAATAAATTTTAAATTTTCTTCTCACACTTCTTTCTTCTTTAAATTTTTATCAATTCACTAAGTATTATAATAATTTTCTTGTCTAAATTTCTGCAAATTCATTAAGTATTATCTCATCTCATGTAAGTTTTAATCAATTTTAACATTCACCAATCGCGACAGACTAACTTAAAAAATGTTAAAATATAAAATTGAAAATTGAAAATTTCAAAACAATATAACTAAAATGTAAAAACTCAAACATTAGGACTTAAAAACATTATTATAGTATATTTTTATTTTACATTTTATAATTTCCACGAATGTGATTTTTTTTAGTTCAACAACATATAGGACAATGATTCCAACCTCAAATATTTTGGTCAATAATATATGTCTTAACCAACTAATACTCAAGTTAGCTTCATGTATATGATTTTGATATAATTAACTTAGTTGTTATTTTGTACTAAAAAACTTGATTGTTATTTTGAAATCATAAATTTGCTTTGAATATAACATTATATTTATGAGAGTGAGATTTTGTTGTATAAAAAAATTATAAAAAAAAAAGTGTTATGAGAGTGAGATTGGGGCTATCAATTTATAGAGGAGCGATATCTTAATTTTACATTTTACTTTTAATCCATATAAATGAGTTATTAATTAGTTTTGTAAAATATATTAATATTTTAATAATAACACATAAATGCACACCTGATCAATATTTATTTTAACTAAAGTTTGGATATCAAATAACTCAATGAAAATTTGTTGATCTTGCCACGCAAATGTTTTCACACTTGAGATAACCTAATTTTAAAATATCTTGCGGAAATAACAATATATTAGTTTTTATAATTTAAATTGATTCTGATATGTTATTTTACTTGGTGTTTTTAGGCTTTACGCTATTAAAAAATAATGTTTCTATTCCATTATCTAAAAAATTAAAATAATTTACAATTTAAACATAGTTCAATTGGTTAAAAAAATATCTTGTTGAAAAATAAAAATAGTCAAAGAACCTATCTCGGACCCAATTCACATCTCCATATGTGTACTAAAAAAATTAAAATATACTTTTTTTTTATTTCATATATCATATGAATTTAGCACTATTATAATTTTTGTTTGTGTTATTTAATTACTAATTTTAATCTTTAGAAATAAAATTTTCAGTTATAAAAAAATAATAATAAATGTATCAGTTAGTACGTTTTTTTTTTTAAGAATTTAATTAGTACACTTTCAAGCCACCAAATTAAGAATTTTATAATAACAAATTATTGTTTAATGAATATATGCAAAAAATACAATGCAAGGTTTATTTATTTGTAAATAAATAGGTGGTTTTTTTCTCTTATAATATTTAGTATTATTTTATAAATAATTTTGATAGAATATATTATGTGTGGCTAAAAGATTATGAATTTGAATCTCCCACCCTCTGAAGAAAGAAAAATATTCAATTTGAACTACTTGAACAAAACAGTGAAGTTCAAAATTAAATGCATATTATATGAAAATAATTATGAGAATATATAATATTAATTATGATTATAAAGGAAACACTCGTTAACAAAGTTAAACTCAAATAGGAGGAATATTCTTTAAATGTGGAACATTATCATTTTTCATTTTTTTAAGAGAATAATCTTTTCTTAAAATTTGTATTAAAAAAAAAAGAAAAATTTTCTTAAAATTATCAACGGACAAATAAATAATGGAAATTACAATGTAACTTTGCACCATTCATGGAAATTTTGAAATTAATGTATTGCCTTGCTTAATAATTTCACTTCCATCCAAGTCAATTGTTTTTTTAATTGAAAAACATTTTAATTCTATGTGATAAAAATTTTATCTATCATGTGACCAAAAGATCATGTTTGAATCCTCAGCCCTCCACGCTCTTATAACATAAAGAGGAAAAAAAACTCTCCAATCCTACTTCGAACCACCGTGAGCAAAATAAGGAAGTTTGGGCGAAATTTTTTTTTTTTAAATAAGTTTGGGCGAAATTAAATACAAATTCCATGAAAACAATTATGAAAAGGAATAATATTAATGGCTATTATAAATGAAAAACCGGTTACAAAATTAAACTCGGGAGAAATATTCCTTTAAATGCAATTTTCTTTTTTTCCAAGAGAATAATTTTTTTTTTAATTATCAACCGGCAAACCATTACAATGTAGCACCATTCATGAAAATTTTGAATTATTGCATTCCTTAATAATTTAATTTCCATATTTGCAAGTCAATTATTTTTCTTTAATTAAAAAAACATTTTCACTCATTAGTATGTATATATGACTATTTGGTATCATATTTTTCGGAAAGAGTAAATAAGAAACAAAAATATACCATCACATTCATTAACATTCTTATTAAACAAATAAAATTAAATGGAAAGTTTGTAAATGTTTACAAAACTTTAATCAGTCTTGCCTTCCTCTTTCTCTCAAATCTCACATTCGTTTCATCTTTCCTTTCTCTATGTGATCACATAACCAAATTCAGATCTCTTCCCTTCAATCTTTAGTTTTCAATTGTTCTCATCGTTATCCCTGTCACAATACTTGCTGCCAATACTATTTTGTTGCTTGTTGTTGCTTCCAACCTATGCTCGTGCTGCTACTGTTGTACTGGTATTCGTATCACCTCTTGTTGGCATCATCTCGTTGCTCTTGCTCTTTCTTTATGCCTAATATGTCTACAAACATCCTTCACTTCCCCTCGTTCATCAATTGCATTGTCTTGCATATGTGTTCGAAATTAGTCCATCTCTTATCTGCAATCTTCTATTATAACTTATTTCCTCAAAATTCGATTTGGAGGGATTGATTATGATGTTTTGTACTTATATAGTTCATATGGAATTTTAATAGTCATTGGTTTCATTATAGAATTTTAAAAATCATCAGTTTGATGATTATAATAATAAATTAAAAACGGTTAATAGGTTTCTATTCTATTTTTTTTTTAGGAAAAAACACTTCATTAATTGGAAACTGGCACTAGGGCATGAAAAGAGTACAATTCCGATTGACAGGGAAAAAGAATCCTCGATGGGAAAAGATCAAGCCAAATTGAAGGATGTATGGTGTGAACACCATGTTTCGCTAACCAATCTGTCGGACGATTGAGAGCTCGGGGAACATGCAGAACATCAAAATCGTGGAGAACATGAGATAACACCCGGATATCATGAAGCTGGTGGGATGTGAATCCCGAAGTAGAAGCGGATCTTTGTTCATCAATTTTGAGAAACAAAATCAAAGGTGTGCAAAAATGAAATATAGGGGAAAACTTACGTTTGAAGAACTCTTCCTCAATTTGATTTCCTGAACACCACCAAAGAGTCTTTCGTGCTATCCTTTTGGATCTCGAGATCGTGCTTGTGGCAACATCAATTTGGAACGTAAGGGAGAATTAAGAGAGAGAGCTTGATCGAGAGAGAGTTTGATCTTGCTAGGGCAGAAGCACTGTACAGAACTATTTTGTACAGGTAACTCCCCAAGTCACAACTTCCCAATTGCAGGGGAGTTTTTAATTAATAATAATTAATAATTAATTAATTAAATCTAATATTAATTAAATAAATAATTAACCATTAATTATTTAAAATTTAATTAAATATCACATATTTAATTAAACCCATATATTTGAATCTTATTCAAATGCATGCATCCCTCTCGTATAACCTATAGTCGTAATGTACATCTTATACACATTATTTTTAACCTATAGTCTTAATATGAATCTTATTCATATTAATTTTATTTGAATCTCATTCAAATAATTTCTCTCATAATATATAGTTTTAATTTAGAATTAGCTATACATTATAATGTATTAATATACATATATTCCCTTGAGCAATTTGAACATTTCAAATTATTCCAAAACATTTATCCTCGTTCTACCCGTTATGAGCTAGCAAGGGGACCTAATGGATCTATAGATCAGAAGCTCCAACGATACAAGATTAATCGGTCAAACTCATTGACCGAGTTAATCAACATTCGTTAACTACGGATCACTCCACTAAAGACCCACAGTTGCACTCTTCTCACTGCAGAATGTTTTCGTGTCCACGGATATACGACCATTAATGACAAGTCAATCCTTCACGAGTGCTCGTAACTCAAGCTGGATCAAATTACCGTTTTACCCCTGAGTTACAACTTGCTCTTTAAATACCACTGCTCCTCTAATGAACAACCCAGTTATGGTCCGACCAAGTCCCTCTTGGGGCTGTGAGATGGTGGGGCCCCTTGTTCAAGTCCCGGAGTCAGTAATTAAGAGAACACTCATGTACTCCCATAAATTCGGGGATGAGTGAATTCCATCTTGTAAGGGTATTTTCGTAAGTTTGAAAAAAAATATAAAAATAAAAAAAATTGGGAAATTGTTGAAAAAAAGTGGGTTTGTGTGTGTGAGCAGTGGAAGGGAACACGTGGAAAGGAGGAAAAAAAAAGAAGAACATAAAAGAAAGAAATTCGAAATGGAAGGGGTTTTGGAGAAGAAAACAGAGGGGGGGGGGAGCGAGGACTGAAAAAGGGTGGATAACTCAAGGTTGCTGAAAGGGAAGAAGAAGAAGCATTGTGATTTTAGAGCCAAAAGTTGAAATTTGGTAAGTTTTCTAGAGATTTATCAAGGAAATCCATGGAAGCATGAAACTCTTTAAGATTGGGTTTTGTGGGTTTTCTTCTTAAGGAAATTCCTAGTTTTGTGGGTATTATGCTCTGTTCATACATCTCCCCGACTTCCTATGGGCGTGGCTGAGAACAAAGTGTGATTTTGTGGTATTTGATTATTAAAAGAAAATAAGATTTTTCTTTTCTTTGTGGTTTACTCAAATATGGAAGTCGGTGGAAAAATTGGTGATGTTATGTTGATTCAAGAAATTGAGAATTTATGGTTTCAGTGAGCTGTGAGAATGAGTTTGCTGGCAAGGAGAAAGGTAAGGTGAGAAATATAATTTTAGAGACTTGGGAAGAAGAAGTTGCAAAAAGAAAAGGAGTGGAAAAAAAAAAACAGAAGTTGGGATGAAGTAGAAGATGAATAGTGTAGAGGAGAGAGAAAGGCTATGTGTTGAGAATTAAAATTAAAAATAAAAGGAAATGAAAGGAAACAAATGGTTGTGAAGTGAGGCTTTTCACGTCTAATGAATTGGAATGGGTTAAAAGGATATGATAGTGGAAAGTGGGTCCCACTTGTAAGGAAGATGAAAGAGGAAGAGGTGTAATTGGATGGTAGAGAGAGAATGGGGTTGTTGATTAAATTTATGGTTTAATTTGAAGAATTGTAGAGTTTAAATTGGTAATTGAGGGTGAATTGAAATTTCATTGGTTATTATTTCAGGACGATCGGAAATTGGAGAGCAGCGTACCAACCAAATTCACCTCGTTCATAGGATTTGTGAGTGGTTATTTTACTAAATATTTTCAGATATCTATTGTAGAACCTCAAGAAAAATATATAACGTATGTTTGATTATTTCTGCTGAGAAATTGAGTTTTGCTGAGAATTTCTGAGAAATTGTTGTGTTTACTTAATATGATTAGAAAGAAATATGTTTAGAAGTGATTTATGATAGAAATGTTCTTAGAAAGAAAGAAAAAGAATTTTTAGAACTGTTATTGAGATTGAAAATTTCTGAGAATCGGTTTCAAACCACCATATTGTTATATCCAGGTGATTACCCGTATGCTATGTGAATGTGTTTCTATAGTATACCCAGAAATAGAAGGTCTTTGGGACCATTTTACTCCACGCGTTGAAAGAAATATTCTGCTGTGTATATTGAGATTACTTTATGTCAGTGGACCAGAAATAGAATTATTCTGCTGTGCGTATTGAGATTACTCTGCGCTAGTAGACCAGAATAGAATGTGGATAAATATATGGTGTTGAGTTTCCTTAATCTGTTTTAGGTTTGAAAGAAGATATTTGATATGTGTTTCAGAAAGTATTTTTAGGAAGTATATGTTGTTACAAGTTATGCTCAGAAAATTACTGAATTTTAGTTGCTCAAGTTATATGAAGTTTTAACGAGAATGTTTATTATTTCAGCTTTATGAAGCTCGTCTTGAGAATTGAAATTTCAGTTGTTTTTATGGAATAAGTTTTATGAAATTATTTTCTTAATAAAATGTCACTCACTGAGCTTCCTAGCTCACTGTTTATCATTGTTTTCCTCCTCCAGGCTGCACCTGAGTTTCATAGAGATAGCCAACCAGTTTCTGCCACTCACCGTCTCAGAATTTGCATATCATTTTGTATGTACATCTAGAATGACTTATACTGGAATAGTTGTACGTTTTGTGGTCGTACAACATGTTTAGAAGTCGTGGCCGAATAGTTATTTTATAAATGAATTATGTTACACTTTATGTTTTATATGTTGAGGAATAATCTAAATTAGTTTTAGAAATTTAGAAAGAATTTGACTATAGACTTGGTAGATGGTTGGGGGTCTGTGGTCGGCACGACTTGTCCTATAGTTAGTAGGTGTTTAGGGCGGGTCGTGTCAATGAAGTTATGTCCAGCTCCCCACTCGGTTTCGTCCCCAAAATGGTAGGAATATTGAGTCGGCAACTCGAGCCACTTTCACCCATACAGATCAAAGGATGAGCCCTCACGGGTAAGAGTCAATAACTCACTCAGGATTGAGAATGAGTTGTCTGGTCATCCTATGAAATAGCAATTTATTATTCAACGGCGTTACATCTAAAGATTGGCTATTTCGCAGTCCGGTCTTATACAAACTCATTATATAGGATACCCCCACTCACATGTCTCCACACGAACGACCTGCATCAAGTTGTCTATAACATTTACAAAGTGGGTCGTATCCATAGTATTGCCAGGATAAGGTACCAAGCCTTATCCATATACTATAGACCCTTTAGGTTTTTCACGGAACATTATCCACTCGTATATCAAATATATACCTCGTATATCAGGGGTATATCAAATATATACCCAGTATATATACTGTCCCGGTTACATGAAAATAACCTTGGATGTTTAGTTTATTGGATTTTGGACAATGCAATGCTATGAATTCAACAACAAATTTGTTGAATAAAACTTTATTGAATATACATTTGTTTCTACATAAATACAAACTACGAGTCTAGGGCAACACACCCAACAGAAGCCAGACTCCTTCTGGACCAAGAGATACTGATCGTTTATGAAGAAGGTGAATAGCGTTGAGAGAGTCCGAGAGTAGCCGAATTTTCCGATATCCCAAAGACTGAGCAAAGTGAAGACCTTCCAAAATCGCATGAATTTCCGCAAGGAGTGGGCTAAGGGAGTTGGGGCCAGACGAAGCACGGGCTGCCAAAATTGTCCCCGCCGAATCCCTAAGGATTGCTCCTATCCTCGATCTCGAATTAGTTCCACAGCAAGCGGCATCGACATTAAGAAGGATCCAACCATGTGGAAGATGATTCCAAGATTCAACAATGTTATCTGACCCACAACGACGAAGAGGATTCAGAGATGAGGAGGAAGAGGTCATCTTGGCTTTCTCTGCGTAAGAGGTAATCCAAGCACATAATTCTGATAGATCTGGGATTTGTTTACCATGAACTCTCTGATTTCGATCGTTCCAGATTGCCTACGCCAATATTGCAGCGAGGTCATTATCCAAATGGTGTCGAGAACTGAGGATCGTAAGCTAGAGGTTTCTATTTTATTTTAATTAATAATAATGACAATAATGGTTTATGTTAAAACTTTAAAAATAAAATCATATAAAAAACAATAAATTTAATAGAGTTTGTAATTAATAAAAAATTAAAAGGGTATTATGGTCCAAAAAAGTTTTTTCAATATTGTGTCTTTTTAATATATTATAGATTATAGATAACTACCGTTTCTTGGTTTTTGTTTATACTTTTATTGAAAAACCTAAATATTTAATAATTATTTATATTTTTTTTCTTATGTTTTAAAAACCGTTCTTATAGTTATATAGAAATTTTGAGAATAACCAAATCAACTTTCTTTCTGGTCTATGTTTTCAATTTTTTTCGAAACATAAATAAAAATATTGTTTTATGATCTGGACTTCTAAAATTTGTAATAAATATTAAAAATAATAATATCAGGTGGAAATTTTGAATGTTAATTTTTAAAATGTTAATTTTCATCTAGAACTTTTACCTATTGAATTTAAAATTCAATGGTTACCTACTATTTGAAATAAAAATAAATAAATAACAATAAATAGTTATCAAAATGCAATTAGTTTTTTTAAAGACAAAGAGGAAACAAGATTCAAGAACGTTACCAAACGGTCCGAGAGTTCACGTTTCTTTTTTCTTGTTTTTTAGAAACATAAGCATTTGTTAACAGTTCATTATTTCTCGTTTCTCTTTTTGAAGAAATGTTTTTAAAGTGGTATATAGATTTTGGAAACAACAAAACCAGTTTCTTGTTTGTTGCTCGTGTTTTAGTTTTAGTTTTGTTATGGACGGGTAAAAAACCATGTGGCAAAAGCCAATAGGTTAGAAACCCGAGGGTGTTGATTAACTTGGAAAAAACCGACAACAACAAAAGGGTATCGACTCGACCTAGCAAAAGAAGTAAACCTGAAGTGTTGCGAAAGAGTTCGGAATAAACTGGATATGCTGCTAAGGGAAATACTGCTTCGAGAGAGGGTGGTACGCTCGGAAGGAAACTCACTTTAAGAGAGAGGAGAGAAGCCTGGACTTAGGGTATTAAACCATTGGTAAAAGTCTAGTAGGTTGGAACTCAAGAGTAAACCAAGAGACTTGACTACAGCGAACTACGACAAAAGGGTATGGGGGCTATAATAGGCCAGCGCATAAAAACGACAACTGATAACGACAAATACTCTCAACACTAAGGGACTCGGTTGCAGCCAACTACAAAAAAAAAAGAAAATGGGGGCTGTGACAGTCAACCCATAAAAAGCGACAACTGACAACGACAAGTTCTCAATGTTAAGAGACTTGATGGTAGCCAACTACAACAAAAGAGAATGAGGGTTAGGAAAGTCAGCGTAATTAAGACAACAATCAACAACGACCAAAAAGAGGCTATTCCACAAAAATAGTCAAGTCATAAACGACAAAATACTCTCAAAGCAGAACTTTGATAATCTTCAACTTTGAGGTGGGGATATTGTTATGGATGAGAAAATCCTTATTTTGTACGATTCGAATTCCCCTTATTTAAGGAATTCAAAAGGGTTAGGAGAAGATATCCTGATTGCCTCAAGATTCTCCCCAGATTCAGATAACCAGATTTCCTAGATGTATCAAATTCGAATTCCACAATCCCGAGGGATCAAGATTCAACTCTTATAAATAGGGGAGTAAACCAAACCCTTAAGGTATGGTCACAATACCGGAGCCTGTGTGGCAAGAGCCACACCAGTCTTTAGTGCTATTATGTTTTACAGGTGTCGTCCTTTATTCTAGAAGATTGGTGCGAATTTGGCGAAATCCCAGGAGACCAAATATCTGCATCAACAAGTTTTTTCAAAGAATAAATAAAAGCATTGTTTTATCATGATTTACTTGTAAAATCAATTCATAATAAATATTAAAACAATATATAACATTAAGATTTTGGATATTTAATTTAGAAGTTATATTTCATATAAAACTTTTTCCTTTTTTTCTTTTTGGGTAAATTGTATGAGTCCGAAGTATGATAATTGTTGCAACTGCACCCTAACTTAAACTTTCAATTGTATAAATTAAACATTCAACATTCAAACATTCATACATGAAAAATTGTATTCCTTAAATTTAAAATGGTAGAAATTAAAGAAGATAGAGCGGTCGAATAGAAAATCCAAGGAATTCCACTAAAAAAAATTATTCTTTCGATTCCATTGATGTTGACAATCATCATCGTTCAACTCAAATTGGTCACTTGTAAGTTTTCGGAAAGAAAAAAACATAAAAATAGCAACCAACAAAAACATTTTTACTAGAAAAAGGCACAAATAAAAGATCCTGCATACTAAATCCTTTAAACCCAAGAAGGGAAACAAAAGGGAAATGTCTCAGGTTACTATTTGGGCTCAAGAATGAAGAGACGAAAACCCCATTAGCGAGAAGAAATAAAAAGAGGTTTGAACAACATCAAAAGAGTTGCAATGAAAGCTTTTAATAATGGAGAATCAAATTAGCAATTTGGATGCTCGATTTAGAGGAATACCGAGAAGAACGGGGAAGATGGAACCTAAAAGGCTCCTTTGGTAACATTCATGTTTCTTCGTTTTTAATAAAGAAAAATGAATTGTATGACCCAAACATGCATGAATTAAAGTATGATAAAACAATCTTTTTATTTATGTTTTGGAACGAAATTGGAAACCGGAACAAGAAAAAAGAAACTTGTTTTTGTTGTTTCCAAAATTACTATAAAATTTTGGGAATGTTCCCAAAAAATGAGAAACATAAATAAAGAAAATGCTTACATTTCTTAAGAATATTTTAAACCATAAACAAGAAAGGGAACGTTACCGAACGGGCCATAACTTTTCTCTCTTTTGTTCTTTTCTTATTATTTTTTTTTTCTAGTTTATAGGTAAAAACATAACATAAGATAAAATTCTCTGTTCGGCTCCTAATCTCGTCTATCATTATCATTTGCAATTGATGATCATCACATTAGATGCAATTTTTTTTTTTTAAGTTTAAAGGAGTAATTTTCTCACTCATAAAAGTTTAATTGTTAAATTTTTACTTTCAAAAGCTTAGGAGTATAATTTTTTTCATTTATGAAAGTTTGATGATTTAATTTTTACACTTGAAAGTTTAGGGCTATATAATTGCAACAACTACAATAATTCAGGAGTGATTTGTGCAATTTATTTATTATTATTTATCTCTCTCTACAATTTCTCTCTACAAAATTTTTTTTTTCTCTCTAAAATTTTCATATTTTAAAGATTTATTATTGTTTGTCTCTCTCTAAATTTTTTTATCTCTATCTATTGTTATTTTTTATTTTTTCTACCTGATCAGTTTCATTTCTCTCTCTAAAAATTTCTTTTTTCGGAACACTTTTTCTCTTTAAAATTTTGTCTTTTATAACTTTTATTTCTCTTCCTAATCTATTTTTTACTCTGAAAATTATGTGTTCTTTTCTCGTTCAATCTTCTTTTACTATAACTTTTGTTTAGATCTGTATTTATTTATTTTTTCTAAAAATTATATTTTGAATATTGTTTTTATCTCTAAATTTTGTTCCGCTATAATTTTTCTCTTTCTTTCTAATTTCTTTTTTTTTCTTTAACATATATTTTCCTCTCGA